AATTCTGCATTCCTTTCATGACAGGCGGTTCAAGATGATGCTATGCAAAGTAGAACATGCTGAATACAAAGTTATATTGTTACTATTGGAACAATCTTGGTCTTAGCTAAAAATTTGGGGGTATTACTGCATCAAAGTGATTCCTGAGTGCATCAATTACTTGCATGGCAAGACATTAACCAACCTAAAAGTGGCAGAATTGAGCTCCAAACAATGCCAGCACCCATTTCACATTCATCATTCATTTTCATCCATATATAGGCTTATTTATCTACCTGTTTGTCCATGAAAGGTCCTTTGCAAATGTATCAACCTGGTTCTCTCCTCACCAGCCTCTATCTGAAGTCCCAAATGAGAAAGACAAGCCAAGGACGGGATGTCCTGCTCTGCATCTGCCAGACGGACAGACTCGGTGCTCTTGTGTGTCACATGCATCTTCACTGCTTCTCTGGGGTCTTCCAACCCTTTATCTTCTTTTCATTAAAAATATTTTAAACTTCATATTTGTTCAGCGTTAAGTAGTCTGAGAATAAATCTTCTGTTGTGTGCTCCCTAGACATTAAATTGGCAGATGCTCAGCCTGGAGAGGGGGAGCAACGCTGCTCTGGCTGCTCTCTCTTACACTTTTCACAAGAATTCCTTGATGATACTGTTTGAAATGCCTTGCGGAAGGCAAGCGGCCGAAGCATGTGGYAGCCTCCTGACCCCAGGTTTGGGATGCTGGCAGAGCAGCGGCTGGGAAGCAAGCACACRGGCATGGCAGGGCGCCATCCTCCTCCTCCTCCGTGTGAGCCGTGCCGAGCCGCAGAAAAGCCCATGCCCTTCGCATCCAGCCTCTCCATTATGTGCTGATCACATAGCGACACGGCAGGCTCGGTTTTAATGTGACAGCCTTTGGTGTCGCTGTCCTTGACGGTCACAAAGGGAACTTCTTGCCGYGTCTCGCTCTCCTCACCGCGCAGCGGTCCCGCGGCGGGGCAGCTTGCCCACGCGGTTAATCGGCTGGTTTGTAGCCAGCACCAAGGCAAGGCTTTCTCACTATGAATCACTGCTGCGGTTTAAGATCATTCAAATCTAGACTAAGCTTCCCATTTCTGTGGGAGCAGAAATGGGTCTCCAGGGGAAACTTTTGGAAGAGGTTCAATGGAGTGGGCTGAAGCAAGCGGAGCAAATGGCAGGGTTTCGTCACCACCTCCAGCGGATGCTCCCTATTTGTGCCGTGGTTTCCAAAGCGCTCGTCAGCTCTGGAAAACAAAGACYGTCTAGAGAGCTCCTCACCTGCTGCTGACCAGAAAGTGAAGGTTTTATTTTTAAATGCCTCGCCTAGAGCTTATTATCCTCGTTTCAGATGACTCTGGTGTGTTCTGAGAAAGACAAACCTCTGAGAAAGTCTGCAACTTCCCGGGTCAGGTTTTGAGCAGGACAACTCGAGGTGCGTTTCCCCAGAACACAGCACGGCTTTTGCAATTATCTGACACCCCTGAGTGGGAAGTCCTCCTGAAATGGGAAAGAGCCTGCTTTGGAAGCAAACTCCCAGCACCCGTTCATCAGTGTCTAGATGATGGAAATCCCTCTGCTTCCACATGATTTTCCAGAGCMTATATAGCCATTCGTCAAACCGGTGACAGCAGCCATGATACAGTTATAAAAGCAGTCCAGAATAATGCAAGTCAAGGCAAAGTTTTTCCATTAACTTATCTGACTGCATTCATCTTAAAAAGTCTGGATAGCTTTAAAATGAGCCTGACAAGAACTAGAGACCAAATGCCCTAAACACCAGGGGTAACATCACTCAAGCCTTCCAGCTTTCACTGCATTAGGAGTGATATGGGGCACACGCTCTGGACTCGGGCGTGTTCTGGTCACCTCAATCTCACCGATTCTTTCCTCAGAGCTCCCCAAATGTGCAGACAGTAGCACTATTCCCATGCAGACTAAGGTGTGGYGGATGGGAAAAGTTTGCGCTGCTACTTAGCAACTAAAATTTCAGAACGATGCATCACAGCCGTCGTCTGAGAACAAATATATTTAGTTGGCATGGAAACAGTAAGTTAGGCTGAACGTGGTAAATATCCAGCAGTCATAAAAAATTGAGCAAGTCAGAATAATAAACATTAAAAAAGAAAACTCACTGAGCGCTATTGAAGCAGGGCGCTCTTGCAATTAGCACTCCTGTTTTCGTTTGAACACTGCAGTGAAAGCCACTTAACTAAATAAGCTGTTCCATTTTATTCCAAATACTTCTACAACATCCTAACTCAGATAAGGCCTTTCTCTTTTTTTTTTATAATCTATTTGTGGAATAAAACAAATAAATAAACATATTAAAGAGTTGCAAGTCTATATTGGTATTCTCYTTCATTTCCTCAGCAATATTCATGAATTCACATAATTGACTTTCTGTCTTCACAAAATCTGCCTCCTTCAAGGCTCAGTTTGGGACATGACTGGTAACAGGAGAGTTCTTATGGTTTGATACCTTTAGTGATTTTACTTCCATTGTTTGTGAACATAAGAAGGACTTTTTCCCTCTAYTATTTCCAATTATAAATTTTACATCATATTTGACCTGCCCCTTTATTTAAACCATTAGGATCAGGAATGAAAAAGCAGTCGATTCACGATCTGAAAAAAAAACTCTTGCATTATCAGTTAGGTTGGTCAAAGTGGGAGAAGATCCTGAGGACGCTAAGGAAAAGGTATTGGAAAAACAATGAAGTAAAATTGCTTTTGACAAATGTATATTAATTTGGACTGCAATATGTAATTTGGGTTCCTTTGTCATTCTGCAGTATCATCAATGGCCTCTATCACTTAAAAAATAACAGTACCGATAAAAGGTGTTTCTATCTGCTCACACTGTAAAGAGAATCAGAAAGAAAGTAAAAACAAATCCATACAATAGCATGAAAAATTGGAACAAAACAGCTTCACAGTTGAGCTGCAAGGCCACACTGAGCTCTAGACATCTCACTGCTTTGGCATCACGGTCTTTCTAACGGATTTCCCCGCGGCTTTTATTTATGGGATAGTTTGTGTCAGTAAGTAGACTTTATCTGTCTGGATAATTATAATAAGGGGAAGTTAATTCTGTGCAATCACCAAGGCTTATTACTAGCAAAGAGTTAAGCTTCATGAATGTGCCAGTCACTCCCGGGGACTGCAGAGTTATAAGGACATTGCAAGGAAAAGAGACAAACACGGAGCACTACGATACCACCCAACAAGCCATAACGAGAAACAGCTTTTTATTTTTAATTAAAAGCACAACAAAATGTTTTTGCATGTCTCATTCATTTGTTTGTTGTTGTTATAGAATCAAAACACAAGATTTTTCCTTTTAATGAAAAGCAGAAGCTGTTTAACTCTCTCTCCTCCTTATTTATAGACATGTAAAAGCTCAGAAAAGTGGCCTTTGTAATAGTGCCAGCACAAATTCTGATGTTTTTCTGCAATTCTCTATCAGACAATATTTGGTGAAAGTAGAAAGCAAGTTCTAAGTAGCTGCCTTAAATATTCCAGCTCTCTAACCAGCTGATTAGACGTCAGCTACTCTTAATGCTTGATGACCATGTTTACAGGTAGTCTGGCCAAGACATCGTAACGGGAGGTATGTCAAAGCAGACGTTCTTGTACTTTTATTCCAGAGAGATAAGCATAACTAATGGATTAACCAGTCACAGAGGAGACTCGCTAACAATTTTCAAAAATGTTTTTCTGTGAAGAAAGGAAAAAAAAAAAGCCACAAAACACAAACATCCTCAACGGATCCAGCTTATTCAGAAATTCTCAATATATGAATGGGAGAGACAAGCCAGCTGACTAACTCACATATCAGAATTACCATAAATCTGCTATTTCTGCCTCGCCAGAAAAGCTCTAAGCTGGCCGTTGTAGTGTGATTTAAATAACGTTTCAGACACACGTATTCTGGAGCACAGTACGTTCCCCAGCTGAACTACCCTTCAATAATGTCAGGGTGGACAGGTACCTAATTTTCCTGCTCTTTTCTAGGAGACAGCAGCTGGAATGCGACACTTGCGGGCCAGGCACGGGTTACACTGAATTGCTCAGATGCCATAGGCATCGCAGCCCTGATGAGCCCAGCCTAACCACTAGATCTGGGAGATAGGGGCAGGGGAAGAGAGGAATAGCAAAGCACTGACTTTAAAGAGAGGAAATACGTGAAGGTAAATGCTGAAGGTCAACGCAGGTTGCCATTTGCAAGCAGGATAACAACAACTGGGGAAAAAAGCTTTGAAATTCATGATTATTACTCTTCTACAACCATCCTATATTACTATTCCTTCAAGTCTGGGTTAAGAAAACAGTGGTGGAAACTGTTTTCTGGAGTTCTGGAGCACCGAATAAAGTTCTGGAGCGATGCACAAACTCATTAGTATTGCAGATCTGTACATCTGTATGTGATTCAGACACCTCTCTATTTTCCTGAATGTTTCAATTTATATTTGGTTTAAATGCAGATCATTCACTTCCCATTTCTATATCAGTCTCTAAATTACCAGCATGCATTCACTTGAAGCAAACAGAATCTCTGATTTCATTGAAAATGTCCACAGTAATTTTAGCATATTAATCATACGGAACTGTTCATGGACAAAAAGGACAATGAATGCATAAGATCAGCAATAAGAATTACGTATAACTCAGTTATTGCCCAATTGTAATTTTTTTAATACAAGCCATTAAAGGACAGGTTAGAGTGGTCCCCAAACCTTCTATTAAAACAGCATTGTTGCTTCAAAATAAATTTCACAGCTAAAATAGTTGAAATACCAACCCAAAATAGAGAGCATGAGATAAGTATTTGCCTGTAGGGTCCAGACAGTTTAATTCTCTTTTATTAACAAAAACAGAAAAGAAAGCTAGCTGAAAATTTTGGAGGAAAATATGTGCTTTTGCTTTGAAGCAAGGTATTATTTTTAAATATAGACCCCTGCTTGCCGAAGGGAAGAGAAGGAGAGGTCAGTGCCAGGTACCTGCTCCTGGGTCTCCAGCTCTCTGTGTTGCAGCTTCTTCTCTGCAGCCCGCACCTGACTGCGGTAACTTTCCATCTCATCTTGTAAGACCTGAAACAACATTGATGGATGCAAAACACATATGAGAAACCCAGGAGGACAGAAAAACTCAGTGCATGTGGTTCAATAGGTTAAATAAGAAACCTATGAAATATCAGYACAACTCCTCAGCTAGAGCGGCTTTTAGCAACTCATGAAAGATGCTAAGAGTTAAATTAGTTAGTTAAGTTTAGTTAAATTTCATTAAAAGTTAAATTTCATTAAGATTCTAGTTAAATGCTAGGTTCTATTCTGCCATAGCTGGCATGTATTCATACTAAAAATGTAATAAATGCCCTCAGAGATTGAAAGCGACACGGAAACGCTGCAAGTTCTGTCTCATATGTTTGCTATCAGTCTGTTTGTACAATCTGTGCTTCCTAGGAGCCCTTTCACAGGGCACCAACAGCCTCTCCTCCAAACCAGCTGAAGGATCCTCGGGAAAACCATGCTCGGAATTTGCGGGGACAATGTGCTCCCTGTCATTTACATGGAAAGCTCTCCAAGATGAGGAGCTCCCTTCCTCCCCTGTGCTAACATCCAGCATGTGACGTACAAAGCAAAAATGGCAATAAATAAAAGGGATCTTACGATCACGTAACTTTACCACAACTACCCCGATCTTTATTTAGTTCAGAAATAATCACTTTTAAAACCAAGCTCATAAAATGCATCGACAAACTTATTTTGTCATTATTGTTCCTCTTGTATATTCATCTTTATTAGGGCCACCCCTCGGAGCCTTGATCTTTTTGTTATACGCTTAACAAAAGAACAGTCGTGCCCCAAGGAGCTGATAGTCTCTGTTATTCCTACCAGATAGACACCAAACAAACAATACAGAGTTCCAAAGATTCTTTTTTTTTTTTTAAGTTTCCTGGGCATTGTTGGAGGTTTGAATACACACTTAGCGTTCACTTGCCCACTTGCTAACAGCTTAGTGATGCTGTCAGCTCGAATAAAGTCCTTGCTCACTGCAAGCAGGGACTTGAAGCAAAGTGCACAGGGAGCGCGTTGGACGGGCACCAACCCGGCGGCAGCGCCGAGGGAGGATTTCGGGTTATTCCAAACGCCAGGAAATGAAGGTAGAGCTGAAATGTGCGGAGCAGAGTCAGGATTCGCTTCAGAGCAAAGACTTAGACTAGATATCTGCTATAAGTGACCCAGACTGCCTCGGTGCAGTTTCTTTTTTACAAAAAAGGGAGCTGCAGCGAGAACATCTGCAGGGCCGGCTGCAAGGGAGAGCCCGGCCAGCCCATGTTCCCCTAACGTGTTTCTCAGAACATGTGATATGGTTATCGTTTGCTTCCTCAAAGTAGAATACCCACCCATAAATCAGGATCATTAAAAGTGCTCACAGTACAAAGATTTAATAGGAAAAAAAAAAAAAAAAAAAGAAAAGTTGCTCTTTTCCACAGCACTGAAATACTGTACTCTCAAATCATTTACAGGATAAAATTGCTATGGAGATAAGATAAGAGGACTACTTATGAYAGATCTTGCACGTTGTTTTGAAGTGAAGCCAGGCATTAACTTTAAAGTCTTATGCTATAAGACTATTACATGTTCCGATGCCAAAAAATTTAAGCAGACCCAAGCATGAACTTCAGATCTGCCCAGGAACTTTTATGCTCTCACCGCTGCTGAGAAATGTTGAAATCCAGTCTTTGAACATAAACTCAGTCTTCTACACTCAACAAGTCTTGCAGCACCTTTAATTAGCAATAATATAATGAAATCTATGTGTGAATTGTAGGCTTCTTTGTTTCCATTTTGTATATCTAATATGGTAGCTTAAAATACAAACAAGCCTATCTTGACTTAAATCCTGAAACGATCAGGTCATGCAACTGCAGAAACGTGATGCAGAACGAACGGGGCCTTTGCACACACCACAAAAGTCACGGAAGAGCTAATTAATTTGAGAAAAGTCTTGCCCCGACTTCAAAGCGTGGAGGCACGACCGACGGCTCAAGAACAACTCTCAGGAACATCCCCAGAGCACATTTCAGATAAACTACAAAGCGTGACCCGTCTCCTCCTGCCATTTCCACGGGATCAGTTTATACAGTCAAAATAGCTTGGCATGCGGGAAAAGGAGGAGGGAGGAACCCTCTTTAGACTGCCAACCCCACGGCCCTAGCACCTACTGTTGGTGACAAACACGGATGAGTGGAGGACAAACCAGCCCTTGCACTGCACAGACTCTGGGTTTGGGTTTAAAGGACCTTTCCTGTCACTATACGGATAAAAATTAAAAAGGTCAGCAGTTGATCAAGTCCATCCCAAACAGGCAGCATGAAAATCTCATGGTTGCTGCAGATTCACATATATGGTTATTTCCAAAAGCAGCAATTGGAGGTAAGCGATTTTCTTGCTCATGGTTTCAGTGTTGCAGGAGAGAGCCATGAAGGGTGYCAGGAGCAGTGCACCCTTCTGAAGGTCACGCTGAAAACCCTCGCCATCACCGGGAGGGTGGTCAGACCTGAATGCTCTGATATCTATTTTGCTGGGTACCCAAAACCATCGTATCTTTTTTCTGTGTCTGATAGATAAGCTTTTGTCACAGTGAGTACTCTCCAAAACAGGAGCTGACTTACTCTAGGTCCACCACAGAACAGCTCTTTTATAAAATTAAACAGCTCTTTTTTTTTTCTTTTTTTTTTTTTTGAGGTCTATTTTTTTTGAAAAGCAGTTCTTCTGCAGCTTCAAAGTGTCAGATTTTACCCACAGAATAACAGCACGCCTGTTTAATAACTGCTGGGATGAAGGAAAAGGATAGCAAAAAAGAAAAAAGCTAAAGGGAGAGTAAAAAAAAAATCAGGCCAACTTTTGGCTGTCAGAGGCTTTTTTTTTTTTTCAAACGGAAAACAAAGCCGAACTTACGAAGTTAAATTTTTCAAAGTACAAAATTAATCCCCTTCTCTCAGCTTTGCTAAGCTGACTTACATCACTGTTATAAAGACAGTATTTTTTTTCAGTTAAACCGGCTTTCAAATGCCATGTAAACATGTTTGCTGTTGAAAGTCTACACCATACCTGACCTTGGAAGTGCTTTGTGTTGGCCTGAGAACAAAGGAACGAAATGTTTTGCTTTCCAGCCCAGATATCCTACACTTTGAAAAGCACTTAAAAATGTAAATGAGATAATAAGCTCTACTGCAACAATGTGGGTGAATTACAGCTGTGCAAAAAGAACATTCATTTGATTTATTTATAAAAAAAAATGGAAAGGCTCCTAAAATAAAATCATACTGTAAATGTTTGGGTCACAGCTGATGCTGTGTGGAGCAGAGGTTACTGCAACTGGGCTTGTGGCTGCAGTTTGTCCATCGTGAACATGGGATGCATGGGCAAGGAGAGGAGAGCAGAGCTCATGTCTGGGTAGGTATATATGGTTTTTTTTTTTTTTTTTTTTTTTGGTATGACTCTATTATGGCTCAATTACCACCAGTGAAATGTTTAATTAAGTTTTATTTCCAGCCCAGCTCTGCTGGTGGTACCTGGAGGAGCACGTGGAGCATCGGTGCAGGATCCAGCCCTGGTTGGAGAGGTTGGGACAAGGAATGAAACCCAGGAGCTCAGCCTGACTTCTGGATGCCAGATTGAGGCTGCAAAGGGGTTTGTGTGGGGTTTTTTTCTCTCTTTAACTTGTGAAGAGCATAATTTTGACAAGGAGCCATAGCGAGATGAAGAGGTACGACGCCAGAATCACAAAATCCTCTTCAGAGCAGGAATAAACGTTTGGCATTAGTTACACGGCTTAATTTAAATCAACTAAGGGCTGGTAAGAAAAAAAGATTTTAAGAAGCACATGAACAAGTACGAAATGGGAATATATGAAGGATTTAATCTCTAGTTTATGAAAACTGATTTGATTATCCTTTAAATACAGGACTTTAAGAAAAAAAGAGAGGTGTCAGATTCCCTGAAAGAAAATTCAGTTCTGGAAGAACTAAATAAACAGGAATCATTAGTATTTCAAAATACTTGACATCGGGGAGTCCTGCACTAGGAGAGGAAAATCTTCTAAAATCACAAAACATCCAATGCATTTTTCACCTTAAAAGAAAATGTGTTGGCAGGGAAGTCATTACTCATAATGATCAGATTATGCCACATGTTGGCTTTACACATATATATATATATTTATATACATACATGTATAATTTTTATTGGCTGTAAGACGGACTCTGCATACACAGATGTGCACCAGTATCAAAAAGAGACCTCAATATTTATGACCAGTGCAAAGTAATACTACTAATAAAAGGTAATAATAGCTAGCACTTTTCATCTTCAAAGAATTTTTCAAACATTACCAAATTAATATAATTAGTTAATGAAAGATGCAGTAATAAAAGCTACCATAATTACCTACTATAGTTTTAATTATCTCCTTATTAATGCCCACAGAAAAAAGACTTTATACTCCTCAAAACATGTGCCAACAATAATTCTGAGTACAGGCCCCTCTTTAAGTGTCTCCTAAATTCAAATTACATCTATTGATGTGTTTTCTCTTCCCCCATCATGCAAAGAAAACCTTGCTCTGGAAGTTAAAGAAAATCTGTGTGAACATTAATAAAAAGGTAAAACAACTTTGTTCCACAATTATAACTGGAGAATGCTATAAAATTACGTCAAAAAACCCTTCAATCGAGCACCTTTCCCTCTCTATGAAGCTCAGTATATTGAGCTCAAAGACTGGGCACAAAATTAACTTTTATAGGAGATGGTCTCACAATTTACAGAATCAAACGCAACTTTTACTTACAAACAGCCAGCCAAGTAGCCCATCAAAATTAACCACAGGTCTTCAGTCTCCAACTCATCTCTACCCACACTTTTTAATAGCGACTGTTATTTTCGTTAGAAAGCTTTATAGGGATCAGTAAATACGTCTCGGTTTATTACTACTAAAAATAAATAGGTAAAATATATCTACAAAGATCACTGATGAAACTCCTCCAATCACGGCAAAAAATGTATTTTTTTGGAAGTAAGCACTG